GGCTGCTCCTCCTGGGAAAGGGGGGTGCTGGGGAGACGGGCCCTGGGGGAGCAGGTCTGTGGGGCCACGCACCGGCTGCCCTTAGTGGGGGTGGGGCCCTGGGGAGACGGGCCTAGGGGAGCAGGTCTGTGGGGCCACGCACCGGCTGCCCTTAGTGGGGGTGGGGCCCCGCACTGCCCTCGCCCTGGGGAGGGAGTAGATCTGTAGGGCCCAGTACCCCTGGGTTCTCTTCTCCGGAGTTAGGGAGACAGTGGCTCGGAGGAAGGTCTGGGCTACTCCCTGGGGAAGGTGGGGTGACCTAGGCCAGGAGGAGGTGTAGGGAGTAGGTCTCTGGGGCCACCCAGTGTCACTGAGGAAAAGGGGGTGTCGTGAGACCTGGGAGAAACAGGCTATAGCACTGCCCATTGAGGGAGCCAGTGCGAAGAGTGGTCTAGGCGGAGGGAAAGCGGGAGAAGCAGGTAAGGGCTTAGGGTAATGAGGGACTGGAGCTGGGGGTGGAGTAGGCCTTGGGGAAAGGAGAGCTCATGGACAAGCAGCTGTCTAGGCAGGTCAGTAGGGATGCTCCTTGGCTCCTGATACTATGTAAATGGACACAAGGAGCGGGTAAGCAGTTGGCATTGAGCGTCTGGAGGAAAGAAGCTATGGGAAGATTAACAGTTCTGGGTAAATGGGTTAGGGGGCTGGGAAAGATCAGGTCCCTGAGCCTATGGTGAGATGGGAGGGGAAAACAGCTGTAAATCTTAAGGGCCTACTAAGGCTCCTCCTAATAAGTAAGGGGGGGAAGCAGTTATTCAGGGATGAGTTGTGGGTACTTACTGATCTCACTTACTATTAGGGAAGGAGGAATGAACTGGGCTTGTTGGGGGGGGGGGGGGGGGGAGGAAGGGAGGTCTGGAGGAACTTCCCCTCTGCAAAGCAGGGGATGGGGAAAGGGAAATACACCTTAGAAGGCATGCTGTGGAGGAGAGAGATCGGGAAATGGATTTTAAAGGAGGGGATACTGTGGGACAAGAGGAGGGGGGAGTGATTTGGGAGGGGATGTTAATCCTTGAGGAAAACAAGGAAAGGGATTGGGTGTGTGTGAATATCTGTGGTGTGAATACTGTGAAGGGTAATGTCAGGGTTGTGGTGGGAAACAGCCTATTTTTCAAAGGGGTCATGGACATGCACATTCTCCTCTATCGTGTTTGTGACCATTTTTTGTTGTTGCAAATAATTTAGTTAAATGTTCTGGGGAACATTTGTAGTTGGGTCCTATTTTTAAATATATAATCTATAAATTTTAACATCTAAGACTATGTTATTTGCATGTGTGGTATTTTTGAGCAGCTACAATTAAAAATACAGGTTGAAGTTTAAAGGGAGGCAAAGGCCCCAAAATTATAATTAAAAAAATTAAGAAGAAAATGTTCAAAAGGCAGGCATATTGTTCTGAAATATATTAGATGAGATGTAAATAATGAGATGCTTGCAATTTCAAGTCACTATAGAGCATATTGCTTTTGACTGTATCCAGGGTTTCTTTTTGTGAAGAGGAGAGGTTGGCCCTTGGTAAAACTGAATCAGGTCTTGTGAAATGACATCTTATTTTTTGTTGTTGTGGGGTGCAGACTTAGATATCCATCCTCATGAGTGAAATCTTTATAGAGCAGATTAGAAGAGAAAAAAGGCATTTGGCGTAAATGGAGAAATAACTGGAAGAATAATTGTAGCATCCACTGGGCTTACAGGGCTGTTAGCGTTCCCATAGAAGACCCCTCTTTTCAGTACAATATGGCTTTCAGTCTGGGGAAATTTTCAGCCAGAGATTCAGGAGGCTGGCTGTAATATAAATATTCACACAAGAAAACCGTATAAAATTAGTTTATGTAAATAAGTGACAAGATGTCAAAAAATAGAAGACATTTAGCTGTGATGTGCTTTTAAAAACCTTTGGTAACAGAAAAATATCTCAGCTATCTGTAAATGAAAACTTGTAGGCACTTTATAATAGGTATAAGGCCTCTTCATGGTTTTTTTTTTAAATATAAATGACCCAGATGTTGAGATTTAAAACAGTAGATGTCATGTATTTATGTTAAATCCATAACACGCATATACCATAATGTTAAAATGCTTGTCTTTGTATTATTGTCTTATGTTTATGCACTCTTGTAAAGCACCTGAAATCTATAAATAAAGAATTCGGTGCAAAATATTATAACAATAAGTTGAGAAAATATTAAGAATATTACATTGTCTAAATATACTCTATCTGATCTGTAATACTGTTCTTAGGCCCCAGTCCTGAAAACATACACATGGTAACCTTTCCTCTTATGCATAGTCCCTTTGAAAGCTGTAGGGTTATCCATGGTGGTAAAGTTAAGCACATATGTTAGTGTTTACTCTGTTGGGGCTTGTGTAGTTCATTATGGAGCATTAGGAACACATACATTTTAGAAATGGGGCTCATTCAGAGCAGTGTACAAAGCTTCAACTTGGTCCACTGATGTTTTGTCTGGTCCAAAGAAGCATCTAATTTCTTGGCATGTCAGTTACACATTTTATATGCTGTTTTGACTCTTAAAAATGAAACTAGGAAAGGAAATTAAGAAACTGGAAGTCAAAATCTCTCCAAGGCAATTATTAGGAAATTCAATGTTAGAGTTTAAATTATGTTACTTAAAATACAGCGTAATTAATATCTCAGTAGATGCAACATTCACTGCAGCACAGTCTATTTCCAGTTGTGGAGATGATCCAGTTTCTACTTGAACTGAGAATATTCATGTTTTTGGTTAGTTTTACTCCCTGTCTTATCAGATGGTAGGGTGATTTTTTTTGTTGATAGTGGTGGGTGGGTGTGTATCTTTGGTAGTTGTCTACATGCAAAGGTAACCTGTTTATAAACAGCTGATGAAAAGGGGAGAAAAAGGTCTGAGGTTTTGGGTCTGGGCAGCAAAATATCTAAAGCGGCTTGTTTGGAAGGAGAGCAGGGCTATTAAAGGCTTGGATGGAAGAAATCCAGCTCGTATGGTGGAAGGGAAGGAGAAGGCAGAGGTGAGTGTCTGTCAGAAAACAAATTTTAAAATCCAACTACTAAAATGCAGTTTTGAACATGAGACTCAAAATGGACTCCTGTGCAGTCAGTGTGTGCTAGGGAAGGCCTGACATCCTAGAAGCACAAACTGTGCCTCCATGAACCTATCCTACAAAGGTGTATGTACGCTTTCTCTTAGTGAGGTTTATGGCAGGGGAAAACAAGCAGTCAAAGGATGCTAGAGAGAGCGTCTATGTGCATATTTTAGTAGGACAAGGAGTTTTACTCCTGCAAAAAATGTCTGTCTGCTTTGCACAGACAGCCACTGAACTGAATGTGTGGATAGCTCATTCAGGTTTTGTGGCTGAAGCCCTTTAGTATGCAGGGGGAGTGGGTACAAGGGGGACTGGAATGGGAGAAAGGGGGCTTTCTTCATGTCCTAGGCTTAGCATGTAGGGTGGGGAAAACAGAAAGGTACTGCTTATAGGAAGCCAACTGATATGAAGGAGCTTTCTCTTTAGCTCAGAGGTGTCTGGGGGTGGGAGAAGACAAGGAGAGGTGTTTACAGGATACAGGCTGGAGAGGGCTTTCTCTGCAACCCATAGAGTGTGTGAGTGAGTGATTTGGAGCTTGTGGAGAGGATGGGGAGGCTACTTACAGGACGTAGACTGAGGAAAGGAGGAGGGAGCTTTTCTACAGTTGTGTGGGTGGAAGGGTCAGTGGAACTGCTACTTTCCATTTTCAGATGACAGTATCTGTATCTTACATATTGAATGGTTTAATTTTAGTATTTGTATGGTAAGAGCTACATTTAAGGCTCAAAGATTTTGAAGACCTAACTGAAAAATGCTTTTGTTTCACACGGATTTACTTGACCTTTCTCTCCACCAGAAGGTGGTGACCAAATGAGAAGATTCAAGCTTGTCAGTTTCTCTCCTCCCTCTCCCCAAAATTTTGAAGTTGCCCCTGTCTCTTCCTTCAAATCCCCAGCCTGAATCAACATTAATACTAGAAATAATGGATGGTGAAAACCTCCAAGATTCAGCTCTGACACATGACTGGAGCTGGGTATTTATTTTTAGCCATGACTGCAGTTTCCTGTGGCAATTACTTTTTTTTCTTTCTTTCGCTTTTCACTCATGCACTGAGTAATCCAAATTTTTTAGATTTTGTTGCTGAAGTGAAGATTCTTTTGTGCCCCTGCATCACTCATGCTTCCTTCTGAAACTTGTTTACTTTCATTTTCTAGGTGCTGGTGAATCTGGTAAAAGCACAATAGTCAAACAGATGAGGATCTTACATGTGAATGGATTTAATGCTGAGTAAGTGAATTCATCTTTTTCACTACATATCTTAGGATGTATATATCATACAATAGTGGTTACATTTGTATTCTCCGTATATTTCCTTTTTAATGTTATGACATAGCATGTTCAGATGTAATCACTGTTCCTGTGTGCAGTTTATGTGGAAGAAGTCAGATAATAGTAATAACTAAAGTGACATTGCTAGCCAATGATTTTATCAAGGCTCTGTGTATCAGACTTGATTAAGACTAAGGTTGTTTTTTTGTTGTTGTTTTTTTTACTGCAGTTTCTTTCATAACATGGCTGACACTGATTTACCTCTGCTGTAGCACATTGATTCATGCTGCTCTAAACATTTTATCTTGTTAGATTATAAAGTAAAAAACAAATGCATTTGTTTCGGTATCTTCATTATGTACTCTGGTTTGTGAGACTTTGGGGTTCTGAGTTAGATTTTCTTTTCCTTTCCTTCGTTTGTCTACAGTGATGGTCTATTAAATCGTGTTGCTTAAAGTGTTTTTGTTTACACTTATCAAATTATGTGGCAGTATTGATGGAGAAAGTATTAGGCATTAAAAGTCATTCTTACCAATAGTTTAGTTTTTAATTTTATGTATAGTTAAAACAGCTTTGCAGCTTTATCTCAGTGCTATATCAAATGTTGATGATACAGTAAAACCTGTGTTATCCAGCACGCTCGAGGATTAGGGCATTCCGGTTATCTAAAAACTCCGGTTATCTGAGGGTCCCGTCAACCTAGGAAAAACCAATGGACAATAATAGTAAAACTCGAGTTTTTAATATTGATAGTTTTATAGTGTGATGCAATTGGTCTCACGTTTCTATTTCTATTTTGAGTTAAAGATTATTAGTGCATCTTCAATAAAAAATTGTTAAGCCAATCATGGTAAACCAAGCCAGACCTGTGCACCTGAAGATGTGACAGTATTGTGGCTGGGGCCAATGCTAGTTAACAACATTTTCTGGTTAACAGAGTGCTGGATAACAAAGGTTTCACTGTAATAATATTTATTAGTCTTTTGTACCATTAACTATATTAAAAAAAACAGCCCTGGTACTATATCTTTTGATCGAGAGATTTTTGTTTCTAATTTTTCACTTAATCTCATTGAGGGGCGATAAACATTTCACTTGCTTTTTTGTTTATACTTATGGGCAATCTCTGCTTCAGAAAGATGTGTGCTCTTAGAATTTTAGCAATTCCAACCTAATTTCTGGGCATTGGAATTTCAAAACCCAGAGGGGTTTTTTGTTAGATTTCATTGTATCCCCATCAGGAGTGAAAGTAAGGATTTACTTTCTGTACACTGGGCTCTGTGGGAGGGTGGCTTTGGGAACCCAGAAGTGGCAGGGCTTATGGTGGAAGGGGCAGGGCTCAGGCCAGACTCCCCCAGCCAGACCTTGCCCTTCATGACTGCCACTGCCATGGTGGCCAGGAGCCCAAGGGCTGTGGTGGAGATTTGCTCTGCTGGATCCCATGGGCAGGGAGGCAAAATGGTCAGTGATGTTAAAGTGCTGCCATGGGGGGTCTTTAAAGCACAGCTATGGCAGCACATTAACGTCAGATGTGTACAGGTCTGTACTGGAAACTGGTTATTACTGGAACACCATATTGGTTCATACCAGCCCACTTCCACCTTTTGATCCTCATATCTTTGAAAAAAGTATAATGTTTTTCAGTTGTGTAATATTTTGACATTGACATCATTTAGTATCAGGAGTGGCCCAAGGCCAGCTGCAGCAGCTGACGCCCTAGGTGGAAGGCGTGATCCGGCACCACCGCCTGCATGGCCGTCAATTGGCGTGACGCCATTATCGGGCACCCGGGCTGGCAGCGCTCTAGGCAACTGCCTAGTTTGCCTAGGTTCACAGGTCGCTCCTGTTTAGTATGTGAATCTTCAGTTTTAAAGGATTAATTAGTTAGCATCTCTGAGCAAAACATTCAGTCAAAGAACCTGGACAGTACTTTCTCCTAATCCCCAAACACTAGTTTTAGCATGAACGTACACATTCTTTTGGAAGAAAGTTTAGACAGAATGATAATAAATAAGATTCTACAAGCTGTCATCTTAGCTGCTATTTGTAGAAAATATTTTCTCTGTGCTCAAGACAACATTCTCTGCAAAAGGCCTAATCCTGCAAAATCTTTCTCATGCAAACACTCTTCATTAATTTATTTTGGATAGTCAGATGGGTGAAGGGTTGTAGGATTTAACCCTGATATAGGATCAGATGCTGTCTTCCTAAGAATTTGCCATACCCATTAATGTCAATGGAAGTTACAAATGCTAAGTATCTTTCAGAAATTGGCCCATAAAACTGACACAGATTAAATCTACTAAAGATATTAATGGTTGCAAATGAGATGATGTTAGTGAGTAATGCTTTCATACATCCCCTCTATGACTAGTAAGTGTTCAGACATTTAGTTACATGAAAACCACAGTAGAAAAGCAAGTAGTGCCTACAGAATGTGTGAAAAGCATGTCTTGTGATATCTATTTTTTTAAATTAGTACCAGAAGAATAAATAAATCATAACTTACTTTTGAAATGTTAGGGTGGAAAGTATGTTTAAGAATCGTGAGGCTCTTGCAGATTATACACTAGTTTCTTAAAAGATTTGAACTTTTCTTAAAATGAATTAATCTACTCCCTACATCTTCCTTTCTTGCCCACTCTCCCACAACCTACCCACTGGATTCCCTGCCAAATTTTTAATATACAATGTAGAAGGATTTAGTTTTCTGGTCTGGTAATTTAAACATTATTTTTCTTATTTATCATACCAATCCCATTAGAAAAAAAAATTATGATAAACTCAGTCACGTACAACAACAAAATTAATGGAACTGAT